GGTAATATATAGAAGCAAGAGTTTTTTGTCTTTAAATTTCTGGAGTTGGAGCGTTTGCTGTAGTTCTTGCCATCTCTGATGGATATATCTTTCAGTAGGAGTATAGCCCCCTATTCCTCCCCTTTTCTTTTGATTAAGGGCAATAAGAGCCAATTGTAGCCATGCTTCAATGGTTTGAATTACATCAGCAAATTTATCCATTTCTTGTTTTAAGGATTGATTAGCTCTTTCAACCATTCCCTGTGACTGTGGATTATAGGGTGTGTCTGTGGTATGATCAATATTTAAATATTGGCACAGTCCTGTGAACCTTTCTGCTGTGAAGTTAGGGCCATTATCTGTATGGAGTGCTTGGATATAAAATAGGTTCTGCAGTTCTAATATTCCCCATAGTGTTTCCTGAGCAGTTTCCTTAGGAATTAGCTTAGCCCATAGAAGGCCAGTAGATGTCTCAATGGCTACCAGAATTAGCCGGGCCTCATAGTGGGTCACATCCATTTGCCACAGTCCTGGCCCTGTTCTACTAATATGAGGAGTAGTTCCTCCTTTATGCACTCACTTGGGGCAGTTCTTTATTATTTGTTCTGCTACAATTTTTGGTAAGCTGAATTGTTGTCTCAAGTATGACACATCACTATGCCATTTTGCATGATAGTCCGTGGCTGTCTCAATATGTTCTAGAAAAAAGATGTTTGGTGCCTTACTTATGTCATGGAGGACAGGCATTAAAGTTAACTGAGCTATCAGTTGTCCTGTTTTTACATATACTATTTTTTGGGATAGGTAGCATGGCTCTTTTTTTCTAATTCTTGATTACTTCCCTCACTCTCCTTAACTAGTTTAACTCCATCTGATCTCCAAAAGCCATATCTTCCTTGCCCCTGTTTGCTTCCTGCATCAACATACTAGGTAGGTCCTGGCACAGGATGACAATGAAGACTGCTTAGCACTCTTCTAAGCATTAAAGGTGCATGGATACATTCAATCTGTGGTACCCAACACAAGTAGGGGTCTTCATGAATCATAACGTCTAAATCCTATATACAGGTTCTTGCCCTATTTGTATAATAAATTCTTGTCTAATTTTATGTAAACATTTTAGGGCTCTAGTTAGAGGAGATGCTGCTGATACCTTTGGAAATCCCTGTCTACCTACCCAAAAGATATCAGATCCTTGGTGCACTTTATAATTTATGGTGTTACCTCCCATCATAATGGTACAGTAAACTTCCTTGCTGGGGTCCCAGTAGCTTAAAGGTTTGTGTTCCTGTAATAGCCTCCTTATAGTCCATAACTACTGTCTTGCTTCGGGGTCCATTCCCTGATGCTATTTGACTCCTGGTTTCACTTCATCATGAGAGTGAAAGGTTTTGTCTTAATTCCAGGAACAGCTTGGGTCATCCAATTAAGGAGTCCTACTAACTTTTGTAGTTCATTTAGGGTGGGCTTCTCTGGAAGTTCTGGCAACTCTAGTTTTTGCAATGTCCATTTATTCGGGTGTAGTAATTACCCCATCCATGAATAAGGATATTGTTCTTGTAATTTCCCATTCAGGGTCTTGAATCCCTTTTCTAGAAGCATTTTTCTAAGTTTTTCTATGATCAGTTTGTGTTGTTTTGGAGAATGATTGGACCCAATATATATATCATCTATATATTGATAAAGATCTACCTCTGGGTGTTGTCTCCAGGGCTCTAGTATGTCCCTTAGTGTACTTTGGTAAATCAAGGGACTTAATACAAAACCTTGTGGGAGGCAATTCCAAACATACCTATGGCCTGGACCTTGATTATTTTTTTTTTTAATTTTTTTTTTTGACAGGCAGAATGGACAGTGAGAGAGAGAGACAGAGAGAAAGGTCTTCCTTTGCCATTGGTTCACCCTCCAATGGCCGCTGCGGTCGGCGTGCTGCGGCCTGCGCACCACGCTGATCCGATGGCAGGAGCCAGGAGCCAGGTGCTTTTTCTGGTCTCCCATGGGGTGCAGGGCCCAAGCACTTGGGCCATCCTCCACTGCACTCCCTGGCCACAGCAGAGAGCTGGCCTGGAAGAGGGGCAACTGGGACAGAATCCGGTGCCCCGACCGGGACTAGAACCCGGTGTGCCGGCGCCGCTAGGCGGAGGATTAGCCTAGTGAGCCGCGGCGCCGGCCTATGGACCTTGATTATTAACCTCTGGGATGGTAAAGGCAGTGTACTGCCTGAAGTCCTTATCCAGAGGGATGGTAAAATAAACATCCCCTATGTCCAAAACAGTAACCTGGTTTCTTCTTTGTAATCCTCCGTGGTGTGGGATACCTAACTGAATTTCTCTTCCCTTGTCTACTAACTTATTAAGTTCTCTAAAGTCTATTAACATTTGCCATTTACCTGATTTTTTCCTTATCACAAATATTGGGGTGTTCTAGGGATTATCTGGGTCTGCTGGAGATATCTTCCCTTCCTCTAGTAGTCTTTTTGTTATTTCCTTAATTCCTTCTAATTTTTCTTTGGTTAAAGGCCATTGGGGGAATCAAGGGACCTTTATTAGGATCTTTCATTTTTATCTTTATTGGGGGTAATTTGGATAGAGTTGTGCCATAATTAGGGCTACCCCTAACTTTGTTAAGATATCCCTTCTGAATATATTGATGGGAATATCTGGGGATATTAGAATGGATGTCTTTGTTTTCCTTCCTTTTTTGTCTTTCAGTGTAACCTATGATATCTTTTGTAATTTAGAGCACCCTCCCACCCCCTCTATATTTTGCCATCCTTTTGTTATCCCTTCTTTTATTCCTTTAGCCTCTTGTTCCCTTATTATAGTTAAATGGGCCCCTGTGTCTAACAGCCCTATTATATCTTTCCCCCCAAGGTTTACCTTTAAGGTAAGTCTTTGTTTTAATTCTATTTTGGTAGTTTCAGGTAGATCCCTGTCGAAGGGGCTTCTACCTGTGTTTCCCCCAGGGGCAGGGCAGATGGTGGGATAGATGACTGTATATTCTGGGCAGACGCCATCATGGTCCAGGGGGCATTGCCCCCCACTTTCCCATTTTTTGGCTGTCTACATACTTTTGCCATATGTCCTGTTCTCCCACAATTATAGCATTTTAGTGGAGTTTTTTCTCCACTCCTACAATTTCTTGCCATATGCCGCTTTTTTCCACACCTGTAACAATTTCCCTGAAAACTTCTTGACCCTTGCTGTCTATCTCCAGCCTTTAAGGCTTCTGCCAGCATGGCCATCTTACAGGAGGTGGATCCAAATTCTCTACAGGCATACATTTTTTCTTCTAATGAATCTCCTGTCTTAAATTTCTAAGCAACTTTTTACATTCTTCATTAGCATTTTGGATGCTCATGGTGTCCTTTAAATATGTTCTCAAATCCTCTGTAGATGTTTCCATATCAATCTGAGTAAATGATCGATTAATAAACTCAGGGTAGGGTTTTTTGGGCCCTTGTCTGATGCTGACTGCCTTAGGAGCCCCACTGATAGTTCTCTAGCAATCTTGAAGCACTTCAAGAACCCATGTTCTATAGAGGGTTCTGGCATCAGCGAATCTAGGGCCAGCTGCTTCTTCTGGTGATAATCCAATTCCCCTAATCTGATCTGCTGTTGGTGGCATTGGTCCAGCCGCTTCGTCTGGGGGAAGGGGATGCATGTCACCCCATGCTATCACCTTCTCCTTTATCTTGTCTATGACTAGCTGTTTCTCTGCTGCAAAGCCAGGAGTTACATTCAGTAGTACATTGATGTCTACTGATGTAAAGTTTATTGAAATTACCCCAAAGTAAGTGATGGTAGCTGAGTGCGTGAGACCATGTTCCTGCATTTGTTTAAGCCAAGCAGCTATTAGTCCAGGTCCCACAGGCTCATATTCTTGTCTACCACATCTTAACATTATTGCATAAGCTGACTGTTCTTTTGCTTTTTCTTCCTTAGTTAACTTCCTAGGAATAACCTGAGGTTTTTGCCTACATTCTGTTATGGAGTCATAGAGCTTACAGGCATCTCCTGTATTTTTTGGATTTAATCCCTTGCCGCAACAAATTATCACCTTAAGGGTATCTACTGCACATTTATAATCTTTCCCTGTTGTGGTGCCTTCTCCTCTTTGTAGCAATTCCTCCAGGAGGATTTCTACCTCTTCCAAGGTCTGCAGATCTTGGAGGTCCTATCCTGTACAATCTGCTGCCAGCTTACAAGCCCATGGTACATTTCCTGGTGAGTAGCACTTCACTTTCTTACCTCTTGGTGCCTGGCCTGGAAGGACCTTCACCTTCTCTATACTCTCTAGTGCCTGTCTATATTCTTTTGACTGGGACGTCCCTACCATCATGGTCTCTTTCAACCACCACTACTCACCCTTTTGACCATTCCTCAAGGGCTTGTCTCCTCACCGTCTGACTTCAGGTCCCTGTTCGGGCACCAGCTATCAGGATCTCCCCCTCCGGGAACTGGCCAGGTTGCCACGAAGGAAGAGTTGAGGAGACTGAGGAAGGTCAAGCTAAACTCACTTAATTGGTACTCTAGGTGACTAGGAGGAGAGATCGCTAAAGCCAAATCCTGCGGGCACTAGCCGCTATGGACCAGGAGCTTCTCTCTGTGGGCACAAGGCACTACGGACCAGGGAGAGAGGCTGAGCAACCTCTGGTTTACAGCGTCTGAGGGGCCCCTTATATACAGTTTCTAGAGGCTAGCCCCACCCACACACTGATCTCCCAGTGTCCGTGTTCATGACAATGATAGTTTGTGGTTTGTGGTTAGGCCGTCTAGTTAGGCCGTCCCTTTTCAAATCTTATGAGCTAGCGTGGTTACTTTTCTACTGTGCAGTTACTTTCTTTCAAAAGGTGCTACAGTTACTTTCTCTGAGAATGGTTTCCTAACAGTTGGGGATTCTGTTTGAAAATGTTTACATTACTTCCAAACTCTGAGGTGCACTTCTGCTTTGTGTTCCCTATTTTCATTCTTTTCCTTCTCTTCCCTTCATGCACTATTCTGTTTTGTCCTCTTTCACAGGAGAGGGCCGTTTCCCAGGAGTGATTGACATGTATGGCACTAGCGGTGGGCTGCTTGAGTTCCGAGCCAGTCTCCTGGCCAGTCGTGGATTTGCCTCCTTGGCTTTGGCTCACTGTGGCTTTGAAGACCTGCCACCCCAGCCAGACAAAGTAGACTTGGAGTATTTTGAGGAAGCTGCCAACTTCCTCCTGAAGCATCCTAAGGTAATATTTACTTTTCAGTAGGTTTCAGTCCCCCTGTTAAAGTAACTACCATAGTCTGTGATTTGCTTTACCTTCCAAGTGTGATTCTCCCTCAAGGAACTTGAGATTCTGTTACATACCCAAATCATTCTCATGACTTTTTTCTCATCCCATGTCCTGTGCCCAGAAAGACGCAAGGCTGGTCTGTCATTATATCAAAAAGCCTTGGCTTTGAATTGAGAAACCCTTTGAAATAGGTTGTGTTTCTGGCTCCATCCCATCTGCCTGAGGGAATTTTGGACAGGTTAGACCTTCTCTCCTGCATTTCTTCCTGTTATATAATGGTGTACTGATAACACTTCATGATGTTATTGTGAGAATTGAAGGGGATAATACATGTAAAGTATGTATCACAATACCAGGCAAGTCCCAGTACTCAAGAAAGGTTAATTATTATTATTATATTGATTTATCATGGTGCTTAACCAATCTGTATTTACTTGAAGATTATGTCTGAATCCATGTCTTCCAAATAGGTGAGAGAGACCCAAGTATTTGAACCATCATAGCTGCTTCGCAGAGTCTGTGTTAGCAGGAAGGTGGAATTAGGAGTGGATTCAAATCCAGGCACTCCAATATAGGATGTGGGCATGCCCACATTTCAAGTGGTGCCTGAACCACTAGTTACAATGCCCACCCCCAAAAGACTGTTTTTGTTTTTGTATTTTTTTTTTTGGACAGGCAGAATTAGACAGTGAGAAAGAGAGAGACAGAGTGAAAGGTCATCCTTTCCTTGGTTCACCCCAAAAATGGCCGCTACGGCCAGTGCGCTGCAGTCAGCATGCTGTGCTGATCCGAAGCCAGGAGCCGGGTACTTCCTGCTGGTTGCCCATGTGGGTGCAGGGCCCAAGGACTTGGGCCATCCTCCACTGTCTTCCTGGTCCACAGCAGAGAGCTGGACTGGAAGAGGAGCAACTGGGACAGAATCCGGCATCCCAACTGGGACAGGAACCCGGGATGCCGGCACTGGAGGCAGAGGATTAGCCTAGTGAGCCGCAGTGCAGGCCTTTTCTTTAAAAAAAAAATATATATATATATATATACACACACACACACACACATACACATATTTGTTTGAAAGGCAGAGTTACAGAGAGGCAGAGGTGGAGGCAAACAGAGAGGTCTCCCATCCGCTGGTTCACTCCCCAGATGACTGCAGTGTCTAGAGCTGGACCATTCTGAAGCCAGAGAGCTTCTTCCAGGTCTTCCTCATGGGTCCAAGGACTTGGGCCAAATACTATTGCTTTCCCAGACCATAGCAGAGAGCTGGATCAGCAGTGCAGTAGCCAGGACTAGAACTGTTGCTCTTATGGAATGCTGGCACTGCAACTGGAGGCTTTACCTGCTACACCACAGCATCAGCTCCCAGATGACTGTTTTTGATATGTGTAATGCAATTGTCCCTTTTTTTTAAATAAAAGAGATTTATTTATTTGAAAAGCAGAGTTAGAGAGAGAGAGAAACAGAGAGTAAGGGAGAAAGGGAGAGAGAAATCTTCCATCCACTGGTTCAACCACAAGTGGCCACAAAGGCTGGAGCTGGGCCAGTCTGAAGCCAGGACAAGGAGTCAGGAGCTTCTTCCAGGTCTCCCACATGGGTAATGTGGCCCAAGGACTTGGGCCATCTTCTTCTGCTTTACCAGGAACATTATCAGGGAGATGGATTGGAAGTGGAGCAGCTGGGATTTGAACCAGCACCCCATGAGATGCCAGAATCTTAAGTGGTGGCTTTATCTGCTATACAACAATGACAGCCCCAGTGAAATTGTCATTGAGATTTTTTGCTTGTTTGAGATTGTGGAAGGGCCGGCGTTGTGGTGCAGTGGGTTAAAGCCCTGGCCTGAAGCACCAGCATTTCTAGTCTCGGCTGCTCCTCTTCCGATCTAGGTCTCTGCTATGGCCTGGGATAAAGTAAGAGATGGCCCAAGTCCTTGGGCCCCTGCACTCATGTGGGAGACCCAGAAGAAGCTCCTGGCTCCTGGCTCCTGGCTTCGGATTGGCACAGCTCTGGCCATTATGGCCATCTGGGGAGTGAACCAGCAGATGGGAGACCTCTCTCTCTGTCTCTCGATCTCTCTGTAACTCTGTCTTTCAAATAAATAAAATAAATCTTAAAAAAAGAGAGTGTGGAATTCTTCTGAATAAGAATAGAATAACATCTCTTTTCTATTTTTTTCAGGTCCTTGGCCCAGGCATTGGGATAGTCTCTGTGTGCAGAGGAGCAGAGATTGGACTCTCCATGGCTATTCATCTAAAGCAAGTCACAGCCACTGTACTTATCAATGGGCCCAACTTTATTTTTAGTATTCCACATGTATATCGTGGTCAGATCCTTAAGCCCAGACCCCACTCTGTACAATCAATATCCATCAATGCCTTAGGTTTTGTAGAGTTTTATAGTATTTTCGATGAAAGTGGGCCTGAGACTAGTCAGTCTTGTCTTCCCATCGAAAAGGCCAGGGGACCTTTCCTCTTTATTGTAGGAGAAGATGATAAGAATGTCAATGGCAAAGTATTTGCTAAGCAAGCTACAGAACAGCTGAAGAGACATGGGAAAAACAACTGGACCCTGCTGTCCTACCCTGGGGCAGGCCACGTGATAGAGCCTCCCTATTCCCCACTGTGCTGTGTCTCAGGGATTGCCAATGTATGTTCAGCTATACACTGGGGAGGAGAGGTGGTCCCACATGCAGCTGCACAGGAACATTCTTGGAAGGAGATCCAGAAATTTCTCAGGAAGCACCTCACGCCAGTGATACCCAGTCAAATCTGAGAAGAGAAGGTTTTCAGGGATACATGTATAAATCTCCTTATTAGAAACTTCTCTCAATTTTAACAGAGGAATGTCTTTTATCTGTTATTGTAAGAAGGAAGACAAAAGGAATGGGCATAGAAATGTCCTGAATTTTGGAAGGGAAATATGTTTTCACCTCACCAAGCATCAGACACTGAGTCATACAGTTGTAGCTATGAACCTGGAGCTCTAGCAGCCCTAAAATATCATAAAGCAATTCTCAATCATAGTGATTCTCAATCATAGTGATTCTCAATCATAGCAATTCTCAATCATAGTAATTCTCAATGATAGCAGTTCTCAAGGGGAAACAGTGAATCACAGAATTTTCTGGGTTATACAATGGACATGAAGAGAATCAGATACTGACATTTGTCGTTTTCCTAAAACTCAGATATACGTAGACCTCTCATCTCTCTTTGAAATTATGCTTGCAGCTCATGATTACCTCATTGTTCTTGGAAAACTAGAACTGCATTGCCAGTATTTTAGGGCAATATGAAAGCTTTACAGATGTAAGATCACTGAATCAGCTACAAACAATAATTCAGCAGGAGCCATGTGTGTGTGTCTAAACATGTCCATTTTGGCACTTCCAGCAATGAGCATGGAGCAATCTGAGAAGCACACGATTGCAGTTTGGGAAGCAGCCACGATAATGTGAATGGTGTCCTTCTAGGATAGAGGCTTGCACACTTTTTCTATTAAGGACTAGGTAGTAAATATTTTTGACTTCACAGTCTACAAGGTTCCTTTCACTAAATTTTATTTATGGACACCAAAATGTACATTTCATATAATGTTTACATGTCACAATATTGTAATTTTGTTTTTATTTTTTTCTCTAAGCATTTCCAAATATAGAAGCTATTCCTAGCCCACTGGCAGCACAACAATAGACTCCAATTTCTGTTTGGCTCTTGGTTGCATAATCTGATGGACCTGAGTATCCAGCTGTGGGGAGCCATTGCACGGCGCCCTAAAGATGGCGCCAGCTCCTTTCCCCCGGAAGGACTGGCGAGAAACAAACATCTCCTAATAAGGAGATGGCTGAGCTCCCTTCCGGCTTCCGCATTGCTGTACCAATCAATGCTTGCCACTTGGCTGCTTTTGATTGGTGCGCTGATGGCTATAAGAGGGAGGGGAGAGGAAAGGAGGCGGTAGTAGAAGTTTGAAAGAGGTTCCTGAATAAACTGCTGGAAGAAGAGTTCGGGTCGTGTCTTCCTTGCTGGTCGAGGGACGCGACAACTGGTGGCCCGTACAGGGAACATCTCGAATGCGAACTCAGAACTTCCTGCAGTCAGGGCAGCGCTGGTAAGTCCCCCAGGAAAATAAGGTGGGGATCCGCGATAAGAGCGGGCAGTCCTGCGATAATAGCAGGAGGGTAGTTCTGCGATTAAAGCAGAGGAAGTTCTGTGACAAAAGCAGAAGGAGCTCTGACCCATGGCCAGGGAAAGAGCGCAATTTTTGACGATGGGTAATTCACAGTCCCATCAAATTTTTCTGGCACTGAATGCGCTGCTTCGGGAAAACGGTTTGAAACTTAAGCCTAGTACGTTGCATAGGTTTTTACGTAACTGCGATACCATTGCACCCTGGTATGGGGTTTCGGGAAGCCTTACTATCCCTTCATGGGACAAACTAGGCAGGGATTTGGATTTTGCATTTGAACAGGGTAATCTTGAAGGGGGAGTGAGACCAATATGGAAGTTAGTGCGAGCATGCCTCGAGGATGAGCAGTGTAGTGAAGCTATTCTGAGCGGTCAAGCTGCCTTGGAGGAGCTTCAGGAAGAGCGCTCCGAGAGAGCTGCCAGTGAAAAAGGGAAAACTTTGAAGGAGAGTCGGAAAAGAACTAGGAAAAAACTGTACCCCAATCTTTCCGAGTTGCGCAGCTCCTCCTTAGTAAGTAGTTCTAGTGCAGAAAGTAGCTCAGAAAGCAGCAGTGAGTCTGAAGAGTGTGGCGATAACAAAGAGTCTGATATAAAGCAAGTACGGGAATTAAATCGGCAAATGAGGAAGTTGCAATTAAAAGGAAAAAAGGAACTTAAGCATGGTACTTTCCAGGGGAACTTAGGGGAGGAGCCTGAAGCCTCTCCTCCTCAGTATGAGCCTCTATCCGCGCAAGAAAGAGGGCGGACTTTCTGTCCGGGAGTCTGGAAACAGGTTGGTGCGGAGTTGTTAAGTGCCTATCCTGTCTTCCAAGATCCGCAAGGGCAGAGGTACGAGGAACCCCTCGACATAAAGATAATCAAATCACTAGCGGAGTCAGTAAGAGCCTATGGCATCAGCAGCTCTTTCACGCTGGCTCAAGTAGAAAATCTTCAAAGATACTGCATGACTCCAAATGACTGGAGCGGGTTGGCTCGTGCCACATTGTCACCAGGACAATACTTAGACTTCAGAGCTTTCCTGATTGACTTTGCCAATGAACAAGCGGCAGAAAATGCAGCGGCAGGAAATCAGCATTGGGACAGAGATATGCTGCTAGGCATAGGGAGATTCGCTAACCAGCAGACAGGTTACCCACATGCAGTGTAGGAACAAGTTAACAAGATAGCCATCAAGGCTTGGAAGTCTATACCCAACAGAGGAGAGGTAAGTGGGAATTTGACAAAGATTACACAGGGACCCACCGAACCGTTTTCAGACTTTGCAGCGCACATGGTGGAAGCTGCGGGTAGGATTTTTGGAGATCCAGATCGCACCATGCCGCTGATAGAACAGTTGGTTTTTGAGCAGTGCACTAAGGAATGCAGAGCCGCTATAACACCATGGAAGAGCAAAGGGCTTCAGGTATGGATAAAACAATGCAGGGAAATAGGAGGGCCGCTATCCAACACTGGCCTCGCTGCAGCAGTCCTTCAAATCACGAAGGGCAATAGGGGATCAGGGAATGCTGGAGCATGTTTCAGCTGTGGAAAAATGGGACATATGAAGCGGCAATGTCCGCAAAGGGGAAGAGGCAAAGAACAAAGACAGGAAGGACCAGGAATTTGTCCAAAATGCAGGAAGGGAAAGCACTGGGCCAACGAATGCCGCTCGGTAAAGGACATTGACGGCAATGTCCTTGCTTCTGGCAATGGTGGGGCGTGTCCAAAAAACAGGCAGCGGGGCCCTTGTCCTCAGGGCCCGCAAATATATGGGGCATTCGAGAGTCAGCATCAGGGCCCCCATCAGGACCAGCAGCAGGGGAGGCAAAGTCAGTGGCCCAGCTTCAGACATCCCAGAGACCACGGAGAGCCACTGCAGGCTCCGCAGGCCTGGACCTCTGTGCCACCGCCAGACTCATACTGACACCAAAAATGGGAGTGCAAGCCATTGAGTCAGACTTTCAGGGACCCCTAGAGGAAGGGACAGTGGGATTGTTGTTGGGACGTTCATCCTCTACCTTGAAAGGTCTCATAATTCATCAAGGAGTCATAGATTCGGATTATACTGGCATGGTGAAAATCATGGTTGAGTCCCCTAGAGGTATAACAGCTATTAATCCAGGAGATAGGATTGCACAACTTGTAATCCTTCCTAGCAAGCATTTGCAGTTCAGTGCATCAAAGAAACAATGAGGAAGTGAAGGCTTTGGATCCACAGGCGTAGATTGTACCTTCTTGTCTTTAGAACTAGACCAGAGACCAACCTTAAAGATAAAAATAAATGGAAAGGACATTCTTGGCCTACTAGACACAGGTGCAGACCGTAGTATCATCGCCTCCAAGGATTGGCCTCCAAAGTGGCCTAAGCAGGCATCCTCACAATCCCTTCGGGGACTGGGATATTCAGAAACTCCTGAGATGAGCGCAGTAATGCTGTGCTGGGAGGATGCAGAGGGACATTCAGACACAGTGCAACCTTATGTTTTGGATTTACCTATCTCTTTGTGGGGCCGAGACCTTTTGAAAGACATGAACTATAAATTAAGTAATGAATACTCCCGTGTTTCTCAAAAATTGATGAAGGATATGGGACACCATCCGAATTATGGAATAGGAAAATTCTTACAAGGAAGAAATGAGCCCACTGAAGTAGTGCAGAGGCCTCCTCGCCAAGGGCTGGGTTTTTCATAGGGGCCGCTGAGGAAGGTATTCCCATTACTTGGAAGCACGAGGACCCAGTGTGGGTTCCTCAGTGGCCTCTGTCCTCAGACAAATTGGTCGCAGCGCAGCAATTGATTCAAGAACAATTGAATTTAGGACACATTAGACCCTCTGTATCGCCTTGGAATACTCCTATTTTTGTAATAAAAAAGAAATCCGAGAAGTGGCGGTTGCTGCATGACTTGAGAGCTATTAATATGCAGATGCAGGTCATGGGGCCTGTGCAACGTGGGCTGCCTCTTCTATCTACACTTCCACAGGGATGGCCCATAATAATAATAGATATTAAAGACTGTTTCTTCTCCATACCCCTACATACAAAGGATTGTGAAAGGTTTGCCTTTACCTTGCCGGCGTGCAATCATGAGCAGCCTGACCAGAGGTATGAATGGGTTGTGCTTCCGCAGGGCATGGCTAACAGCCCCACAATGTGTCAGCTATTCGTGGGTCAAGCGATTGGGCCTTTACGTAAGAGATTTTCTTCCTTAAAATGCATCCATTACATGGATGACATCCTCTTAGCAGCAAAAGATGAATTAGTATTAGATGATGGCTTTGCATATTTGATTCAGTTGTTAGAAAGTAAGAAGTTATTTATTGCCCCTGAAAAGGTTCAAAAAGGAAGCATTGCAACTTATCTGGGATCCCGCATAACTAGTACTCAAATTGTTCCTCAAAAGGTGGAATTGCGCAAAGATAGTTTAAAGACTTTAAATGATTTTCAGAGATTATTAGGAGATATAAATTGGGTTAGGGGTTATTTGAATCTTCCCAATTATGAACTTAAGCCACTTTATGTCATTTTGCGTGGTGATTCGGCATTGGACTCACCGCGGTGCTTAACTCCGGAGGCCAGGGAAGCCCTAGAGAAGGTAGAAAAGAAATTACAGGAGGCATTCTTATGCAGAATGAATGAAAATCTGCCATTGTCATTATGCATTCTCCCAACGCTTAACCAACCTACAGGGCTAGTATGGCAGGAAGGTCCGCTTTTGTGGATACATCCAAGGAGCTCTCCAGCCAAGTCTATTGAGTATTATCCGGCAGCGGTGGCAAAGCTAGCACTGGAGGGTTTGCAACAATGTTTACAATATTTTGGAAAACTGCCGTGTGAAGTGATTGTTCCTTATGATGCCAAACAAGTCAACGTCCTATGTGCTCTTTTAGATGATTGGGCAGTGTTTCGCTGTGGGTTCCCAGGCTTTATAGACAATCATTTACCAAAAAATCCATTGTTACAATTCTTTAAAGAACATCCGGTAGTATTTCCAAAAATTACAGCCGCTGAGCCATTACTAGGTGCTCC